AACAAATAATATTTAAGCTTTTTTTCTTTTTAGTGTTATCGTTACCATGTCTTACGATATTATATCCCGTAATATGGAAGGTTTGGGATCTTCACCTTTTAAATTATTTTCTTTTACTTCAATAGTCTATGTACCCTCCGGCGTTACCATCATAGCATTTCAAAATGTTATAGGGCGCAAAGGCATGGCTGCGGTATCTTTATTGGGTAGCAGTATTATAACGGCGGTAACAGGCTTTCTAATAGCCTATTTGGATCCTAATTCTAATGCCACTTTATTAGCCATTATGGTGGGTTTGGGCCGTTATGGTGCAAGTGTGGCCTACGATGCTGAGGTTCAATATTGTACCGAAATTGTACCCACTAGTGTGAGGGGCCGTGCTGTAGCCAATATTCATGTCTTGGGTTATGCCTGTAGTTTTCTAAATTCTTATGTTATCTACTTGGGCAATTATTATAAACCTTTACCCACGATTTTTATAAGTATTATCATGTCTATAGGTGCCGCTTTATGTCTATGTCTGCCAGAAACTTTGAACCAGTAAGTTTGAGATTATTTAATACAAGTTATGTACTTGTTATTAAACGTTTATTTTTCTGATTGTAGGAAACTCCCCGAAACTTTGAGTGATGGTGAGAACTTTGGTCTCGATGAGAAGTGGTATTACTTTCCTTGCTTTAGTAGAAGAACCGAAAAACTTGTGAAAAAATCGGTAGAAGAAAAATTTGGTTATACAAATAATATAGAAATAACAGCTTTATAAATACGTTAATTTTAAGTTTAAGAGATCTTATAAATAACAGAGACACTTTACTGTTCTTTGCTCTTCTTTGCTCTTAAGAGAAAATCTTTTTGCTCTGGTCATTAACATTAGTAAAAATTGTCTGATGAATCAAATTATTTTAAATGGCTTTTTTATGCTAATACTAACTGATTAGACTAGACAGTGCACCTTCTATTAAATAACGTCAAATTTTGGCAAATTACCATTAAGAATATTTTTATTTTACAAATAAACAGATTTAATGTTAATATAAAAAAACGTGTTTTAAAAAAATTATAATATACATTAATTTAATAGAAAACAATTGAATTATCTAAAGAGATCAGTACAGATCGAGAAGTGAAAGCAGTAACATTGACAAACAAAATTCGAACAAGTAATGGATTATAAGTGAAAAAGATTAGATAGATTAATAAGGAACTCCTTCTTAACGTTATGGATTTCGATAAAGCTTTAGAAAAATGCGGAAATTATGGTCCTTATCAATTTGTGGTTCTGCTGCTGTTTGGTTACACCAACTTTATGTCCTCCATGCACTATTACTCTCAAACTTTGATCTCTTTTACACCCGATCATTGGTGTTATCATGAGCAGTTGGAGAATAAAACATATTCGGAAATTGCTGAGATTTATAAGAATTTTTCAAAGCCTCATTGCACTTTATTGCAATATAATGAGGATGCATTTGAAGAGGTGGAAAATGGAGAATGTCACAAATGGTTTTATAAAAAAGAAAATGGCTACGAAAGTATAACTACGGAGGTGAGTGTGAAGATGTTTTCACGACAATGCAATTTTGATCTATAATTGAACTCATCAACTTTTGAGTTTGTAGGAGATAGAGAGAGAGCGCGGGCTGAGTATGAGTAAAAATTTACCATTCCTCTTTCCCTCTCTCTTCTACAAACTCAAAAAGTGAACGACAAATAGCTTAAATGAAATTTCTCCTTTAAGCTAAACTTGGTTTGTGACTCAACCTATCTATCAGCAGTAAGTCAATCATTTTATTTTGTGGGTGCTGTTATTGGGACCATTTCTTTTGGTATCTTGGCTGATCGTATTGGCCGTTTACCAGCCATAATTTTGAGCACCATTTCGGGTGGTTTGGGAGACTTTTTATCTTCTTTTGTCAATAGTGTGGAACTGTTTGCTTTGACCCGTTTTATCTCCGGTCTAGCAACCGATACATTTTTTGTTCTCATGTATATACTGAGTAAGTTAAGAGATCTTTCCAGATAACATATTTTTATTATTTAGTTTTTCAGCCTTTGAATATCTCAATCCCAAGAAACGCACTTTTGGTCTTAATTTTATAACTGGCACTTTTTATTGTGCCGGTTTAATGTTGTCACCCTGGTTTGCTTTGTGGGTAAAATCATGGCGTTATTATTTATTAATTGCCTCGGTCCCAGTTCTGTTATTTTTAATCTACCCTTTGCTTATATGTGAATCGGCTAGCTGGTTGTTAACCCGGGAAAAATATGATCTTGCTGTAAAGTGCTTAAAGCGTGTGGCTAAATTCAATGGAAGACAAGTAGAGGAGAAAGTATTTGATGAATTTGTGGAGTATTACAAACAAAAAGCTTTAGAAGAGCAAAAACTTAAAAACAGTGATACCTTTTGGGGCATGTTTCGAACGCCACGCCTAAGGAAATTTACCATTATACTACTGATCAAAAGGTATAGAAAATATTTGCTTTAACAAACAATATTTGATCTCTTTTCTTTTTTAGTATTATCGTCACCATGTCTTTTGATATTATATCACGTAATGTAGAAGGTTTGGGTTCTTCACCCTTTAAATTATTTTCCTTTTCTTCGATAATTTATGTGCCTGCCGGTCTTACCTTAATAGGTTTTCAAAATGTTATCGGACGCAAAGGCATGGCGACCGCCTCTTTATTGGGAGGCAGCATTATAACGGCAGTTACTGGTTTTCTAATAGCTTTCTTAGATCCTAAATCAAATGCCATTTTATTGGCCATCATGGTGGGTTTGGGTCGTTATGGTGCCGGTGTAGCCTACGATGCTGAGGTACAATATTGTACTGAAATTGTACCCACCAGTGTAAGAGGACGTGCTGTAGCCAATATACATGTATTGGGTTATGCCTGCAGTTTCCTGAACTCGTATGTTATTTACTTGGGGAATTATTATAAACCTCTACCCTCGATTTTTATAAGTATTATAATGTTAATAGGCGCTGCTTTATGTCTATGCCTGCCAGAAACTTTGAATAAGTAAGTTTAGGAGAACTTAAAAGAAAATGTCTGTTATTAAATGTTTATATTTTTATTCCAGAAAACTCCCTGAAACTTTAGGTGACGGTGAAGCCTTTGGTCTTGGTGAGAAATGGTATTTCTTTCCTTGTTTTAGTAAAACATCAAAAAATTTGGTAAATAAATCAGTTGAAGAAAAATTTGGTTATACAAATAATATACAAGATATAACAGCTTTATAAATAAGTTAATTTTAAGTTTAAATAAATGAATTATTAAGGTAAAACTATTATTTTTAAATTTATATAAATAATAAATAAAATAATATAAAAAAATAACAGGAAATATCAGATATCTGATTTCACTATATTTGACAAAAATCTTAGTCAAGAAATATTTATTTGCTTATCATAATTCATGTCACATTTAATTTGATTTTAATTTAATATTCAACAAAAATTTTTGGTAAACAGAATCAGAAACATATAAAAAAACTTTGTTTGTTTAAAAACAACTGGTTTTTTAATATGTTTACAGTTAAATGTCTGATATTGTTTGTTTTTTACTAAATAAGAAATTATGTACAATTATTCTTAATAGTTTGACTATTCTTCTATTAGATTGTCTTGCATTAACTTGTGAAATTAAACTCTGTTCAGACTAAATAATTTTTTAAAAATTTTTAAGAAGCTTGACAAAAGTTATCTTGTAAACTGTTTACAACAAATGCTGATAAACAATTTCGCACGATCAGTTTATTTGGAAATGATAGATAGTATGTGTTAAATTTTAACCCTTTTTATAGAAAATTTGACTCTACTTCTTGCTGTATTTTAGAGTAAATTTTCATAGAATATCTTGCTCTCAGAAAGAGCATATTTTCTTAGAATATCTTGCTCTAGTATAGAGGAAATTTTCAAAGAAAGCCTTGATCGAATCTAGGGAAAATTTGATATAATCTAATCTAATCCAGAGGAAATTTTTAAGAATTTTCTTTCTCTAGTCTAGAGACTACTGAACTAGAACTGAACTAGAACTGAACTAGAACTGAACTAGAACTGAACTAGAACTGAACTAGAACTGAACTAGAACTGAACTAGAACTGAACTAGAACTGAACTAGAACTGAACTAGAACTGAACTAGAACTGAACTAGAACTGAACTAGAACTGAACTAGAACTGAACTAGAACTGAACTAGAACTGAACTAGAACTGAACTAGAACTGAACTAGAACTGAACTAGAACTGAACTAGAACTGAACTAGAACTGAACTAGAACTGAACTAGAACTGAACTAGAACTGAACTAGAACTGAACTAGAACTGAACTAGAACTGAACTAGAACTGAACTAGAACTGAACTAGAACTGAACTAGAACTGAACTAGAACTGAACTAGAACTGAACTAGAACTGAACTAGAACTGAACTAGAACTGAACTAGAACTGAACTAGAACTGAGCTAGAACTGAACTAGAACTGAACTGAACTGAACTGAACTGAACTGAACTAGAACTGAACTAAAGGGTTAATTTTACACTTAACATTTTTTATTAAGAATCTTAATGAAATAATTTTGTTATTGTTAAGCCAAAACAAAAACAATTAGGTGTCACCCAAAAGATAAAATTGTTTATAAATTGTAAATTTCATTCATAGTTTATGACAAGCAGGCGGTAAAAAAGAAGAAACGCACGTTTTAAGGAATTCCTTAAGTTCGCAAACAAACTAACACCAACTATCACCTTAAACGTCAACTAACCGCTTAACATAAAACTCAAGCAAACGCCTCAGAGTTTATTAACAAATATCACACACAATTGCTTAATCGCAAAATCAACAACACCGGTGGTAAAGCGAAACAAAAATCATAAAATAATTAACATAAATCTTTGCTGTTTAGATTACGAATAAATAATATAAAAAATGCAAATTAAAAATAAACCAAAATAAAAACATAAAATAAAAATAAAAAAAATCAACAAATTATACGAATCGTTTGTTGTAGAGCAGAGTAGCAAATGGTTTTTTGATACTACAAGTAGCAAATCGGCCAAAGCCACTTGCATACGTTTTTGGTGTTTTTTGTTTTAATAAAATATATTTCTATATATAAGAAAAAAATAAAAATTTATAAAATCAACAAATCAACAAAGAAAATTTAGATAAAACAACAGATATAACAAGATAGACAAAAAAGTGTTTTAAACAAATTCCAAAATCAGTTCATATTTAAAATAAATGTCTGACATTTCTTGTGAAATTAGTAGACTCCGCGAAAGGTTCGCAACAGCAGTGCCAGCAGCAGTAACTAAAATAACTTCAAGAAAATATTAAAAAAAAATTCCATGTTTTAAGAGAGAAGTTTGACAACTAACAACCCGAAAATTAATACAAACAGTTAAAGGATGGATATCGATAAAGCTTTGGAAAAGTGCGGCAATTATGGTCGTTACCAATTGGTGTTGTTGCTGTTGTATGGTTACACCAATCTCTTGTCCTCCATGCACTATTTCTCACAGACTCTAATTTCATTTACTCCCGATTACTGGTGTTATCACGAACAATTGGAAAATAAAACATTTTCGGAAATTTCCGGAATTTATAAGAATTTTCAAAATCCTCATTGTACTCTGCTGGAGTATAATGATGGTGTTTTTGAGAAAGCGGAAGTGGGAGAGTGTCGTAAGTGGTTTTATAAAAAGGAAAATGGCTACGAAAGTATAACCACTGAGGTAAGTTTTGCTGTTTGTAATAAAACGTTACCTCCTGAAAGTAGTCTATAGTTTTGTTTTGATACACTGTTGAAAATTGGTTTTGATTTAATTTCGTCTTTCTTCTGATCTCAGCTAAACTGGGTTTGTGACTCAGCTTATCAGTTAGCGGTGGGTCAATCGTTTTATTATTTGGGTGCTGTAGTGGGTACCATAACATTTGGTTTCTTGGCCGATCGCTTGGGACGTTTACCTGCCATTGTTTTGAGTACTCTATCGGGTGGTTTAGGGGACTTTTTATCCTCCTTTGTCCACAATGTGGGAATGTTTGGTTTAAGCCGTTTTATATCTGGTTTGTCGACAGATACCTTTTTCATGCTCATGTATATATTGGGTGAGTACAAACTGCGATAAGTGAACTTAAAATCTTAATAGAAAATTTAGCTCCAAAGGAAATTTTTTATGCTCAACCATAAAAAAATATCATAGAAAATGTTCCTTAAGAATAGAGTGAATTTTCAGAACTGAACTAGTTCAGTTCTAGTTCAGTTCTAGTTCAGTTCTAGTTCAGTTCTAGTTCAGTTCTAGTTCAGTTCTAGTTCAGTTCTAGTTCACTTCTAGTTCAGTTCTAGTTCAGTTCAAGTTCAGTTCTAGTTCAGTTCTAGTTCAGTTCTAGTTCAGTTCTAGTTCAGTTCTAGTTCAGTTCTAGTTCAGTTCTAGTTCAGTTCTAGTTCAGTTCTAGTTCAGTTCTAGTTCAGTTCTAGTTCAGTTCTAGTTCAGTTCTAGTTCAGTTCTAGTTCAGTTCTAGTTCAGTTCTAGTTCAGTTCTAATTTAGTTCTAGTTCAGTTCTAGTTCAGTTCTAGTTCAGTTCTAGTTCAGTTCTAGTTTAGTTCTAGTTCAGTTCTAGTTCAGTTCTAGTTCAGTTCTAGTTCTAGTTCAGTTCTACTTCAATTCTAGTTCAGTTCTAGTTCTAGTTCAGTTCTAGTTCAGTTCTAGTTCAGTTCTAGTTCAGTACTAGTTCTAGTTCAGTTCTAGTTCAGTTCTAGTTCAGTTCTAGTTCAGTTCTAGTTCAGTTCTAGTTCAGTTCTAGTTCAGTTCTAGTTCAGTTCTAGTTCAGTTCTAGTTCAGTTCTAGTTCAGTTCTAGTTCAGTTCTAGTTCAGTTCTAGTTCAGTTCTAGTTCAGTTCTAGTTCAGTTCTAGTTCAAATTTTCGAAGAAGGTCTTGCTCTAATTGCGTAGAAAATCTTTCTTCTTGTTTAACTATTAAGAAAATTTTGAAAAAATTTCCTAACCTAACACGTTTTAGTGAGAATTGCATCAGTCTATAATAAAACTTTTTAAAATGTTACTTTCTAATAAAAACTTAATTAGTAAAAACATATTATTTATAACGAACACTAAAATAATAAAATATTAAATTGTTAATTAAATACACACATTCCACTAAGTAAATTTTAGTATAAAGCTGCAAACAAATTAAGTTATAATTTGTTAAATAAAGATAAATAAAAGACATTAAGGTTATAATCTACAATGACGTAGTTAATTGCTAGCGGTAGCACATGCTAAAGTTATCTTTAAAAAATCTAATTCCTTTTTATTTCCCTTTAGCATTTGAATATCTCAGTCCCAAGAAACGCACATTTGGTCTCAATATCATCACAGCCACTTTCTATTGCACCGGTTGCATGTTTTCACCCTGGTTTGCTTTATGGGTTAAAACTTGGCGTTACTATTTACTAATAGCCTCACTGCCAGTGCTTTTAGTATTTTTATATCCTGTATTAACTTGCGAATCGGCTAGCTGGTTGTTGACCAGGGAAAAATATGATCGTGCTGTAAAGTGTTTAAAACATGTGGCTAAATTCAATGGAAGGCAAGTGGAGGAGAAGGTATTCGATGAATTTGTCGATTATTATAAACAAAAGGCCATAGAGGAGCAAAAGATTAAAAATGATGACACATTCTGGGGCATGTTTAGGACACCACGTCTTAGGAAATTTACTATAATATTGCTAATCAAAAGGTAAGTAATAAAAACTATAATTTTACTAGAAAGTTTTAACTTTATTTGATCAACAGTGTCATCATAACCATGGCTTTTGATATTATATCACGTAATATGGAGGGTTTGGGTACTTCACCCTTTAAACTGTTTTCCTTTTCTTCGGTGGTATATGTACCCGCCGGTCTTACCATAATAGCCTTTCAAAACATTATAGGACGTAAAGGCATGGCCACCACCTCTTTATTAGATGGCAGTATTATTACGGCTGTTACTGGCTTTCTTATAGCCTTCTTAGATCCCAAATCAAATGCTATTCTTTTAGCCATAATGGTGGGTTTGGGACGTTATGGTGCTGTGGTGGCCTACGATGCTGAAGTACAATATTGTACAGAAATTGTACCCACCAGTGTGAGGGGACGTGCTGTGGCCAATATCCATGTCTTGGGTTATGCCTGCAGTTTCCTGAACTCGTATGTTATATACTTGGGCAATTATTACAAACCTTTACCCTCAATTTTCATAAGTACCATTATGTTAATAGGTGCTGGCCTATGTCTGTGCCTACCGGAAACTTTAAACAAGTAAGCAGAGACGTTTCTAATAGAAATTAGACATAAACTGTAATTATTATTTTTTATTCTAGAAAACTTCCTGAAACTTTAAGTGATGGTGAGGTCTTTGGTATTGGAGAGAAATGGTATTTCTTTCCTTGTTTTAGTAGGAAACCTAAAGCTGAAGAGCCACCAATCGATGATAAACATATTGGTACAAATACTATAGATATAACGCATTTATAATTTAATTCAATAATTATAAGTTTTAATAGATGTAAATAGATGTAGTTTTAATAGTGATAATTAATAATTTAAGCCAAAATAACACTTCCCAGCCAAATGTAGATATAACGAATAAAATCTAAATCTTTATATATAAAAATTCTAGTACTCTAGTCTAAAGCACCTCTAGTCAATATTTTGGTAGGAAATATTAACGATCACAGATTTTCACTACTTCCTCAATTGGCTTGTAGTTTAAGAAACTAAAAGCGATTTTAGGTTTTTCATATAAAAATCGATTTTTGGTGGGAAATATTAATGATCACAGAAGCGTGATGTAAGGAACTACAGCCGATTTTATGTTTTTCATCTAAAAATCGATTTTTGGTGGGAAATATGAGTGATCACAGATTTTCACTATTTTCTTAATTGGAGCGTTATTTAAGGAACTACAGCCGATTTTAGTTTTTACATCTAAAAATCGATTTCTGGTGGGAAATAAGACTGATCACAGATTTTCGCTATTTTCTTAATTGGAGCGTTATTTAAGAAACTACAACCGATTTTAGCTTTTACATCTAAAAATCGATTTTTGGTGGGAAATATGAGTGATCACAGATTTTCACTATTTTCTTAATTGGAGCGTTATTTAAGGAACTACTGCCGATTTTAGTTTTTACATCTAAAAATCGATTTTTGGTGAGAAATACGAGTGATCACAGATTTTCACTATTTTCTTAATTGGAGCGTTATTTAAGGAACTACAGCCGATTTTAGTTTTTACATCTAAAAATCGATTTTTGGTGAGAAATACGAGTGATCACAGATTTTCACTATTTTCTTAATTGGAGCGTTATTTAAGGAACTACAGACGATTTTAGTTTTCACATCTAAAAATCGATTTTTGGTGGGAAATATGAGTGATCACAGATTTTCGCTATTTTCTTAATTGGAGCGATATTTAAGAAACTACAACCGATTTTAGCTTTTACATCTAAAAATCGATTTTTAGTGGGAAATATGAGTGATCACAGATTTTCACAGATTTTAGGAACTACAGCCGATTTTAGGTTTTTCATCTAAAAATCGATTTTTGGTGAGAAATACGAGTGATCACAGATTTTCACTATTTTCTTAATTGGAGCGTTATTTAAGGAACTACAGACGATTTTAGTTTTTACATCTAAAAATCGATTTTTGGTGGGAAATATGAGTGATCACAGATTTTCGCTATTTTCTTAATTGGAGCGTTATTTAAGAAACTACAGCCGATTTTAGGTTTTTCATCTAAAAACCGATTTTTGGTGAGAAATACGAGTGATCACAGATTTTCACTATTTTCTTAATTGGAGCGTTATTTAAGGAACTACAGCCTATTTTAGGTTTTTCATCTAAAAATCGATTTTTGGTGGGAAATATGAGTGATCACAGATTTTCACTATTTTCTTAATTGGAGCGTTATTTAAGGAACTACAGACGATTTTAGTTTTCACATCTAAAAATCGATTTTTGGTGGGAAATATGAGTGATCACAGATTTTCGCTATTTTCTTAATTGGAGCGATATTTAAGAAACTACAACCGATTTTAGCTTTTACATCTAAAAATCGATTTTTAGTGGGAAATATGAGTGATCACAGATTTTCACTATTTTCTTAATTGGAGCGTTATTTAAGGAACTACAGCCGATTTTAGGTTTTTCATCTAAAAACCGATTTTTGGTGAGAAATACGAGTGATCACAGATTTTCACTATTTTCTTAATTGGAGCGTTATTTAAGAAACTACAGCCGATTTTAGGTTTTTCATCTAAAAACCGATTTTTGGTGAGAAATACGAGTGATCACAGATTTTCACTATTTTCTTAATTGGAGCGTTATTTAAGGAACTACAGCCGATTTTAGGTTTTTCATCTAAAAATCGATTTTTGGTGGGAAATATGAGTGATCACAGATTTTCACTATTTTCTTAATTGGAGCGTTATTTAAGGAATTACAGCCGATTTTAGGTTTTTCATCTAAAAATCGATTTTTGGTGAGAAATACGAGTGATCACAGATTTTCACAATTTTCTTAATTGGAGCGTTATTTAAGGAACTACAGACGATTTTAGTTTTTACATCTAAAAATCGATTTTTGGTGGGAAATATGAGTGATCACAGATTTTCGCTATTTTCTTAATTGGAGCGTTATTTAAGAAACTACAGCCGATTTTAGGTTTTTCATCTAAAAACCGATTTTTGGTGAGAAATACGAGTGATCACAGATTTTCACTATTTTCTTAATTGGAGCGTTATTTAAGGAACTACAGCCGATTTTAGGTTTTTCATCTAAAAATCGATATGAGTGATCACAGATTTTCACTATTTTCTTAATTGGAGCGTTATTTAAGGAACTACAGACGATTTTAGTTTTCACATCTAAAAAACGATTTTTGGTGGGAAATATGAGTGATCACAGATTTTCACTATTTTCTTAATTGGAGCGTTATTTAAGGAACTACAGCCGATTTTAGGTTTTACATCTAAAAATCGATTTTTGGTGGGAAATATGAGTGATCACAGATTTTCACTATTTTCTTAATTGGAGCGTTATTTAAGAAACTACAGCCGATTTTAGGTTTTTCATCTAAAAACCGATTTTTGGTGAGAAATACGAGTGATCACAGATTTTCACTATTTTCTTAATTGGAGCGTTATTTAAGGAACTACAGCCGATTTTAGGTTTTTCATCTAAAAATCGATTTTTGGTGGGAAATATGAGTGATCACAGATTTTCACTATTTTCTTAATTGGAGCGTTATTTAAGGAACTACAGACGATTTTAGTTTTCACATCTAAAAAACGATTTTTGGTGGGAAATATGAGTGATCACAGATTTTCACTATTTTCTTAATTGGAGCGTTATTTAAGGAACTACAGCCGATTTTAGGTTTTTCATCTAAAAACCGATTTTTGGTGAGAAATACGAGTGATCACAGATTTTCACTATTTTCTTAATTGGAGCGTTATTTAAGGAACTACAGACGATTTTAGTTTTTACATCTAAAAATCGATTTTTGGTGGGAAATATGAGTGATCACAGATTTTCGCTATTTTCTTAATTGGAGCGATATTTAAGAAACTACAACCGATTTTAGCTTTTACATCTAAAAATCGATTTTTAGTGGGAAATATGAGTGATCACAGAATTTCACTATTTTCTTAATTGGAGCGTTATTTAAGGAACTACAGCCGATTTTAGATTTTACATCTAAAAATCGATTTTTGGTGGGAAATATGAGTGATCACAGATTTTCACTATTTTCTTAATTGGAGCGTTATTTAAGGAACTACAGCCGATTTTAGTTTTTACATCTAAAAATCGATTTTTGGAAATATGAGTGATCACAGATTTTCACTATTTTCTTTATTGGAGCGTTATTTAAGAAACTACAGCCTATTTTAAAAATCTAAAAATCAATTTTTGGTGGAAAATATGAGTGTTCACAGATTATCACTATTTTCTTAATTGGAGCGTTATTTAAGAAACTACAGCCGATTTAAGGTTTTTCATTTAAAAATCGATTTTTGGTGGGAAATATGAGTGATCACAGAATTTCACTATTTTCTTAATTGGAGCGTTATTTAAGAAACTACAGCCGATTTTAGGTTTTTCATCTAAAAACCGATTTTTGGTGAGAAATACGAGTGATCACAGATTTTCACTATTTTCTTAATTGGAGCGTTATTTAAGGAACTACAGCCGATTTTAGATTTTACATCTAAAAATCGATTTTTGGTGGGAAATATGAGTGATCACAGATTTTCACTATTTTCTTAATTGGAGCGTTATTTAAGGAACTACAGCCGATTTTAGTTGTTACATCTAAAAATCGATTTTTGGTGGGAAATATGAGTGATCACAGATTTTCACTATTTTCTTAATTGGAGCGTTATTTAAGAAACTACAACCGATTTTAGCTTTTACATCTAAAAATCGATTTTTGGTGGGAAATATGAGTGATCACAGATTTTCACTATTTTCTTAATTGGAGCGTTATTTAAGGAACTACTGCCGATTTTAGTTTTTACATCTAAAAATCGATTTTTGGTGGGAAATATGAGTGATCACAGAATTTCACTATTTTCTTAATTGGAGCGTTATTTAAGGAACTACAGCCGATTTTAGTTTTTACATCTAAAAATCGATTTTTGGTGGGAAATATGAGTGATCACAGATTTTCACTATTTTCTTAATTGGAGCGTTATTTAAGGAACTACAGCCGATTTTAGTTTTTACATCTAAAAATCGATTTTTGGTGGGAAATAAGACTGATCACAGATTTTCACTATTTTCTTAATTGGAGCATTATTTAAGGAACTACAACCGATTTTAGTTTTTACATCTAAAAATCGATTTTTGGTGGGAAATATGAGTGATCACAGATTTTCACTATTTTCTTAATTGGAGCGTTATTTAAGGAACTACTGCCGATTTTAGTTTTTACATCTAAAAATCGATTTTTGGTGAGAAATACGAGTGATCACAGATTTTCACTATTTTCTTAATTGGAGCGTTATTTAAGGAACTACAGACGATTTTAGTTTTTACATCTAAAAATCGATTTTTGGTGGGAAATATGAATGATCACAGATTTTCGATATTTTCTTAATTGGAGCGTTATTTAAGAAACTACAGCCGATTTTAGGTTTTTCATCTAAAAACCGATTTTTGGTGAGAAATACGAGTGATCACAGATTTTCGCTATTTTCTTAATTGGAGCGATATTTAAGAAACTACAACCGATTTTAGCTTTTACATTTAAAAATCTATTTTTGGTGGGAAATATGAGTGATCACAGATTTTCACTATTTTCTTAATTGGAGCGTTATTTAAGGAACTACTGCCGATTTTAGTTTTTACATCTAAAAATCGATTTTTGGTGAGAAATACGAGTGATCACAGATTTTCACTATTTTCTTAATTGGAGTGTTATTTAAGGAACTACAGCCAATTTTAGCTTTTACATCTAAAAATCGATTTTTGGTGGGAAATATGAGTGATCACAGATTTTCACTATTTTCTTAATTGGAGCGTTATTTAAGAAACTACAGCCGATTTTAGGTTTTTCATCTAAAAACCGATTTTTGGTGAGAAATACGAGTGATCACAGATTTTCACTATTTTCTTAATTGGAGCGTTATTTAAGGAACTACAGCCGATCTTAGGTTTTTCATCTAAAAACCGATTTTTGGTGAGAAATATGAGTGATCACAAATTTTCACTATTTTCTTAATTGGAGCATTATTTAAGGAACTACAGCCGATTTTAGCTTTTACATCTAAAAACCGATTTTTGGTGAGAAATACGAGTGATCACAGATTTTCACTATTTTCTTAATTGGAGCGTTATTTAAGGAACTACAGCCGATTTTAGCTTTTACATCTAAAAACCGATTTTTGGTGAGAAATATGAGTGATCACAAATTTTCACTATTTTCTTAATTGGAGCATTATTTAAGGAACTACAGCCGATTTTAGGTTTTCATCTAAAAACCGATTTTTGGTGAGAAATACGCGTGATCACAGATTTTCACTATTTTCTTAATTGGAGCGTTATTTAAGGAACTACAGCCGATTTTAGCTTTTACATCTAAAAACCGATTTTTGGTGGGAAAAATGAGTGATCACAGATTTTCACTATTTTCTTAATTGGAGCGTTATTTAAGAAACTACAGCCGATTTTAGGTTTTTCATCTAAAAACCGATTTTTGGTGGGAAATACGAGTGATCACAGATTTTCACGTTATTTAAGGAACTACAGCCGATCTTAGGTTTTTCATCTAAAAACCGATTTTTGGTGAGAAATATGAGTGATCACAAATTTTCACTATTTTCTTAATTGGAGCGTTATTTAAGGAACTACAGCCGATTTTAGGTTTTCATCTAAAAACCGATTTTTGGTGAGAAATACGAGTGATCACAGATTTTCACTATTTTCTTAATTGGAGCGTTATTTAAGGAACTACAGCCGATTTTAGCTTCTACATCTAAAAACCGATTTTTGGTGAGAAATATGAGTGATCACAAATTTTCACTATTTTCCTAATTGGAGCATTATTTAAGGAACTACAGCCGATTTAAGGTTTTTGAGAAATATGAGATTTTCACTATTTTCTCAATTGGAGCGTTATTTAAGGAACTAGAGCCGATTTTAGTTTTTACATCTAAAAATCGATTTTTGGTGGAAAATATGAGTGATCACAGATTTTCACTATTTTCTTTATTGGAGCGTTATTTAAGAAACTACAGCCTATTTTAGGTTTTTCATCCAAAAATCGATTTTTGGTGGGAAATATGAGTGATCACAGGTTTTCACTATTTTCTTAATTGGAGCGGTATTTAAGGAACAACAGCCGATTTTAGGTTTTTGGATTTTTGGTGGGAAATATGAGAGATCACAGATTATCACTATTTTCTTAATTGGAGAATTTAAGAAACTACAGCCGATTTAAGGTTTTTCATTTAAAAATCGATTTTTGGTGGGAAATATGAGATTTTCACTTTTTTCTCAATTGGAGCGTTATTTTAGAAACTACAAGCGTTTTTAGGTTCTTCATCTAAAAAATTGAAATTGGGAAATATTAGTATTCACAGGATTGGGAAATATTAGTATTCACAGACTATAAACTAGACTTTAGACTAGACTACAAACTAAATTACAGATTAATCTTTAGACCAAACCAGAATATAGTCGCACTTATAGACTAAAATATAGGCCAGACTATGGACTAGACTATAGATCAAGCTATAGACCAGAATCTGTACTCAATATTCCAAAAAGTTTCTTTTATTCTCCATATCTATTTAAAATTCTTTTAAATTCGCTATTTTAAAAATTCTAAAAAGAAACAATTAATTATAAAAAATTCCTTTGTAATAATAATTCATACACCTTTAAACATTACTATTGCTTCAAATCAAAGAAAACCTCAATTACATGACTTGTTTCCCTTTTAAAATTCAAATTTAACGTTCTCCTTCATTACATATATAAAATTCAAACTGGCAACTCACCTTTTCATATGCTGCCATACCAATCATATGGCATCTTTATTTTTCTATTTGTTTTGTTTTTTTCTTCTTCTTGTTATGTAGTTGTTTTTTTTGGCGCTTATTGCTAGCAAAAAATGTCACACACACAATCCTACATGCTAAAACACTTGTAGCTCTTTTTTCTTATTTTTAGGACTTTTGCTTAAATTTGCAATAAATTATTTCTTTAATTAAATGATTAATGATATTTTTATAACATTTTCAACAACTTTAATGATTTTTTATTACTTTTAAATACTTTATATTAAAAACATAACACACACATATCCTGCAATGTTGGCCATAACTTGTTGCACTTTTTTCTCTATTATTAACATATTTTCACTTATTCCCAATAGCTTAACATATTAATTAAATGCTTGGGAACATTTTTATTATATTTTTTACGATTTAAATAAGATATTTTAGTAATTTATTGCAACTATATGACACTTTGTAGAAACTACATGTTTACTGGTTGAAATCACGACGGAAACTAATTGGAATTGCAGCTGAAGTTGCCACACAAACAAAATATGTTAAAAGCAAGCTATTGCTATAGACTAGACTATAGACTAGACTATAGACTAGACTATAGACTAGACTATAGACTAGACTATAGACTAGACTATAGACTAGACTATAGACTAGACTATAGAATAGACTATAGAATAGACTATAGACTAGACTATAGACTAGACTATAGACTAGACTATAGACTAGACTATAGACTAGACTATAGACTAGACTATAGACTAGACTATAGACTAGACTATAGACTAGACTATAGACTAGACTATAGACTAGACTATAGACTAGACTATAGACTAGACTATAGACTAGACTATAGACTAGACTATAGACTAGACTATAGACTAGACTATAGACTAGACTATAGACTAGACTATAGACTAGACTATAGACTAGACTATAGACTAGACTATAGACTAGACTATAGACTAGACTATAGACTAGACTAGACTATAGACTAGACTATAGACTAGACTATAGACTAGACTATAGACTAGACTATAGACTAGACTATAGACTAGGTTGGTTGGTTGGTTTACGTGGTAGTTCACTACACGCGAACTGTCAAGTAGAATCAAAGAGACTCCGTTTTGACCGGACCACTCCACTCGTCAGATGTTGAATTTGTAGTATTAGATCCAGCCCGTAGCTGTGAGAAATCTGAGGATATCATTAAGCCTAAAGACAGATATCTCGCCAAGGTTAGATATGAAGTAATTGCAAAGGAAGCGGTTTCTCTTTACGGCCAGAGCAGAGCATTCACAGAGGAGATGGAAGACCGTTTCTTCCTTTTCCCTGTCTTTGCAACTGCGACAGTGATCATTGAAAGGGAGCCCAAGCCGACTTGCGTGTCTGCCTATTACCCAGTGTCCTGTTATTACTGCTATCAGCCTCGATATGTCCCGCCTACTTCGGTTTATAAGGTGTCTTGTGCGTTTCTCATTGAAGGAGGGCCACAATAGCTTGGCCCCTTTACATGTGTCTAGGTTATTCCACCTATTTTCAGCTTTTTGAAGAAAGAATCTGAGGATATTGCTCTTGATATAACTTAACGGAGTTGCTACTGGAACGGCGTCGGAGATATCAAGAGCAGATCCCGTTCTTGCAAACTCATCTGCCTGTTCATTACCGTAGTAGTCCCTATGCGCAGGGACCCAAACAAGGGTAATGTCAGACAGCCGACCCAGCATTGACAGATCCTTCTTGCATTGTCTGACTAATAAGGAAGTAGTAGTATAAGAGTTTAGTGAGAGAAGTGCCGCTTGACTATCCACAAAGATTCCTATGTTGCCGCGAATATTGAGGTCATGTAATACCCTACAGGCTGACATTATCGCAAAAATTTCAGCCTGAAAGACACTACAGTTGTTGGGAAGACGGTGGGATATACTTACCCCAGCTTCTTCACAAAAGACACCAGAACCAACGCCGCAGTTCATTTTAGAACCATCTGTAAAGATTCTGGTGGTATATTCGCTCGGTAGATTACCTCTACACCACTCGCTCCTGGAAGGAACTCTGACTTTGAAGACTCTATCAAAGTCCGTGTGTGGGGTAATATAGTCGGATGGTTGGTTCAAGATTGGAGGTAACAAGCTTAAAACTAGACTAGACTAGACTAGACTAGACTAGACTAGACTAGACTAGACTAGACTAGACTAGACTAGACTAGACTATAGACTAGACTATAGACTAGACTATAGACTAGACTATAGACTAGACTATAGACTAGACTATAGACTAGACTATAGACTAGACTATAGACTAGACTATAGACTAGACTATAGACTAGACTATAGACTAGACTATAGACTAGACTATAGACTAGACTATAGACTAGACTATAGACTAGACTATAGACTAGACTATAGACTAGACTATAGACTAGACTATAGACTAGACTATAGACTAGACTATAGACTAGACTATAGACTAGACTATAGACTAGACTATAGACTAGACTATAGACTAGACTATAGACTAGACTATAGACTAGACTATAGACTAGACTATAGACTAGACTATAGACTAGACTATAGACTAGACTATAGACTAGACTATAGACTAGACTATAGACTAGACTATAGACTAGACTATAGACTAGACTATAGACTAGACTATAGACTAGACTATAGACTAGACTATAGACTAGACTATAGACTAGACTATAGACTAGACTATAGACTAGACTATAGACTAGACTATAGACTAGACTATAGACTAGACTATAGACTAGACTATAGACTAGACTAGACTAGACTATAGACTAGACTATAGACTAGACCATAGACTAAACTGAAATTGTCAAAAAAGACGATAAATAAAGTTGTCAATTTCCGCGCCTGGACCCCAAAGCATAATAAAAATACTTAAACATTTTTTAATAACTATTTATTTTTTATAATTATATTAATTTTAAAATATAAAATAATTAGTTTTATTAATAATAAAATAGGTGTGTTGCAAATTTAGATTCATATAAAGTAAAACAATTAAGTAAAAACTGTGCCATATTTACATTTAATTCCTTCTTTTTTGGATAAATTTAACTGACATCTAAAATGTACTAAATGGAACTTAGGCTTAATTAAAAGTGAAAAATTTAAATAACTAAAAATAAAAATTGATTATTCAAATAGTCCCTAAACATGTAGAAAATTTATTATTTAGACTTTGCATAAAGGCATTTTTAGTTATTTAATAATTTTTTATATAAACATTCATACAAGTAATTAGCTAAAGTTTATAGTTAAATGGTATAAAAAATACTTAATTGTAATTAAAGTCCTTAATTTAAGTACCTTAAGTACTACTAGCTATAATAATTATAATTATTTGTGTGTTTATGTGCTTAATGAAAGTGCAGGGGGGATTTTAATAAATGTTAACTATGTTTTTTGTGCGTTTTTAATTAATTACAAAATTTGTTATGTACAACTATTACTATTGTTATCTATATCGGGCCTTATGGCACTAACTACAACACCACCACGTTCTAGACCAGCTGTCAGTGAGTGTTTACGTTTTGTATAGGGTTCTGCTTCGGAATCTGAATCTGTAGAGGAATTTTTGTTCTTCGATAAACAGGGAAAATCAAACATACTTTCACCTTGACCGAAAGTTTCACCTTCTTCAAGAGTTTTAGGGAGGGTTCTGAAAAATATTAGAAATATATTAAGAGTTTATAATTAGTAGATTAGTCAAACTGAAACTAAACTAGAACTGATGTAGAACAGAACTATAACTGAATTAGAACTGAACTAGAACTGAACTAAAACTGAAGTAGAACTGAACTAGAACTGAACTAGAACTGAACTAGAACTGAACTAGAACTGAACTAGAACTGAACTAGAACTGAACTAGAACTGAACTAGAACTGACTAGAACTGAACTAGAACTGAACTAGAACTGAACTAGAACTAGAACTAGAACTGAACTAGAACTGAACTAGAACTGAACTAGAACTGAACTAGAACTGAACTAGAACTGAACTAGAACTGAACTAGAACTGAACTAGAACTGAACTAGAACTGAACTAGAACTGAACTAGAACTGAACTAGAACTGAACTAGAACTGAACTAGAACTGAACTAGAACTGAACTAGAACTGAACTAGAACTGAACTAGAACTGAACTAGAACTGAACTAGAACTGAACTAGAACTGAACTAGAACTGAACTAGAACTGAACTAGAACTGAACTAGAACTGAACTAGAACTGAACTAGAACTGAACTAGAACTGAACTAGAACTGAACTAGAACTGAACTAGAACTGAACTAGAACTGAACTAGAACTGAACTAGAACTGAACTAGAACTGAACTAGAACTGAACTAGAACTGAACTAGAACTGAACTAGAACTGAACTAGAACTGAACTAGAACTGAACTAGAACTGAACTAGAACTGAACTAGAACTGAACTAGAACTGAACTAGAACTAGAACTGAACTAGAACTGAACTAGAAATGAACTGAACTGATCTCACACTAATCTAGATCTGAACATTAGAACTACTTACTTGTTCAAGGTCTCTGGCAACAGCAAACAAACCAAAGAGCCAGTAAAAAATAAAACACCCAAAATAATCGAGGGAGCAGCCTTAAAGAATGTACCCAACCACAAAATATAAGGAGCCAGGAAAGAGGCTGCAAAACCAGCCACATGAACGGCAGCCACTCCCTGACCGCGAACACAAGTTGGTATTAATTCCGTGGCATATTGAGAACCCGATTCATAAGAAATCGCCACTCCAAAACGAGCAGCAATAGTGAGACAGGCCAATAAAATGGCATTATGATTTTCTTGTTGATAAGCAATGGCAATGCCAGCGGCAACAGTGAAAAAGCCACCCACCAGTAGAGAACCCGAGGCCATGCCCTTGCGGCCTATGCGATCTTGTAGTAAAACCAATAGTAGGGAAGAGGGTAAAACCACCAAAGCACTTAGGGAGAACATAATAAACGGGGAAATACCCATGCCTTCGACATTACGCGAGACCACATCATAGCAAAGAGTAATGACCATGCTACAATAATAAATAAATAATTAATTTCTAAATTTATTATTAACAACTTAGAAATACTTACGATTTGAAGAATAATATTAAGGTATGTTTGCGCATTCGGGGTGTTCTAAACATATCGATTAAATTCGAATGTCTTTGATCATCTCCGCCCTGTTTTTGTCTCTGCTTTTCACAGTATTTACGAAATTCTTCAAATTCTGTTAAGCTGACTTTACGTCCATTAAATTTGGCCACTCTTTTCAGTCTTTTGATGGCACCATCTATATCGTTGCGTGTCACCAGCCATTGAGCACTTTCTTGGACGATAAAATAGTAAAGAGCTATAAAAAGTATGGGTATGGAGGTACAGGCCAAATAGTATTGCCAATGGCCTGCCAAAACCGCCAGCCAGGGAGTAAAGACCAGACCTATGGTATAGAAAATACCAACGGCCAAGTTAAGGCCAAAAGTGCGCATGGAAGGACGTAAGTATTCGAGAACTATAAAGAGAAATAAAATAATTAAAAGTTTGATGGGAGTATCCAGTTTTATGGTCATACCTATTATATACATAAGATAAAAATTCGTATCTGCCGCCAAACCCGAAATAAAACGACACAAAGTAAACGAGGTAACACTAGTCGTAAATATAGTGGAAAAGTCGCCCACGAAGCCAGATAAATTCGATAAAATCAAAGCAGGCAAACGACCAATTTTATCCGAAAGTAAACCATAAAATAAAGTGCCCACCACAGAACCAATAAAGAACAAAGATTGGCCTATGCGAGCCTTGTACGAAGACTCACAAACCCAGTTTAACTGCAAAAAGAAAAAATAAATTATTAAAAATAATTTAAACAAAGAAACTATCTTCCAAAACCCACCTCTGTATTCATACTTCTATAACCAAAATCATATTTATAAATCCATCTAGTACATTTCTCTTTACTGATCGTTATATTCAAACCATTTATATCATCCAATTTGGTGCATGAAGGATTCGGCACTCTCGCATAGATAGCGGCTATCTCATCATAAGTTTTATTTTCCAATTTCTCATGATAGCACCAGTGATCGGGCACAAAACTTATCACAGTTTGAGTAAAATAATGCATTGATACAATGACATTGACGACTCCAAAAAGAGTCAAAATTAAGAGTTGATAACGATTAAAATCGCCACATTTTGCTAAGATCTGATCGAAATCCATTTTAGTTTAGATCTGTTTAGTAGGAGTTTTAATTGTTGTTGTTTTTTTGTAGAGAATGTGCAATTTATAGTTTAATAATTTCGTAGTTGTTGTTTTTGTTAAATTTTTAATTAATTTAGTTTGTTTTATTTCAATTAATATCACAAAAAGATAATATTGTCATTAGTTAGAGAGACGACGAATAGAGAAATATTGTCACATCATGGTCCAATTTTATTGTGCTGCAACTTAATATTGGTTTTTAATTAAACTGTAAATAAAAGAAAAATAATTTATTTGATAATTTAAAAAAATAAGATCTTAGAATATCTAATCTGTACGAAAAAAAACTTTAAGACAATTCTCTTTAGAATCTGAGACAACTACTATATTTTACCTTGCTTAGTAATAGTTTAGTTCCAGTTCAGTTCTAGTTCAGTTCTAGTGCAGTTCTAGTGCAGTTCTAGTTCAGTTCTAGTTCAGTTCTAGTTCAGTTCTAGTTCAGTTCTAGTTCAGTTCTAGCTCAGTTCTAGTTCAGTTCTAGTTCAGTTCTAGTTCAGTTCTAGTTCAGTTCTAGTTCAGTTCTAGTTCAGTTCTAGCTCAGTTCTAGTTCAGTTCTAGTTCAGTTCTAGTTCAGTTCTAGTTCAGTTCTAGTTCATTTCTAGTTCAGTTCTAGTTCAGTTCTAGTTCAGTTCTAGTTCAGTTCTAGTTCAGTTCTAGTTCAGTTCTAGTTCAGTTCTAGTTCAGTTCTAGTCTAGTTCAGTTCTAGTTCAGTTCTAGTTCAGTTCTAGTTCAGTTCTAGTTCAGTTCTAGTTCAGTTCTAGTTCAGTTCTAGTTCAGTTCTAGTTCAGTTCTAGTTCAGTTCTAGTTCAGTTCTCGTTCAGTTTTCGTTCAGTTCTCGTTCAGTTCTAGTTCAGTTCTAGTTCAGTACTAGTTCAGTTCTAGTTCAGTTCTAGTTCAGTTCTAGTTCAGTACTAGTTCTAGTTCAGTTCTAGTTCAGTTCTAGTTCAGTTCTAGTTCAGTTCTAGTCAGTTCTAGTTCAGTTCTAGTTCAGTTCTAGTTCAGTTCTAGTTCAGTTCTAGTTCAGTTCTAGTTCAGTTCTAGTTCAGTTCTAGTTCAGTTCTAGTTCAGTTCTAGTTCAGTTCTAGTTCAGTTCTAGTTCAGTTCTAGTTCAGTTCTAGTTCAGTTCTAGTTCAGTTCTAGTTCAGTTCTAGTTCAGTTCTAGTTCAGTTCTAGTTCAGTTCTAGTTCAGTTCTAGTTCAGTTCTAGTTCAGTTCTAGTTCAGTTCTAGTTCAGTTCTAGTTCAGTTTTTTTTTTTTTTTTTTTCATATATATTCACTTTATTCAATTTAAGTATTTAAAGGTACAATATATTCTTAATACTAAGCCCGCTAAGCCATATGGCTTGACAGCAGGAAACATATATATAAACAATTTAAGTTTAAGATTAACATTATTTTATTTATTTCATTGCGATCTGATAAAAAAGGCCTTTATAAGTTTCTTTCTTTGAAATTTGTTTCTTGTATTTATAGTTCCAATTGGGATTTTGTTCAGAATATTTGGTAAAGTGACTCCTAGGGTGTTTCTTCCATACTCATTAAAGAAGCGTTTCACTTTATATCTTCCTTGCGCTCGTCTTCTCGTGTTATATCTGTGGTCTATTTCTTGTAGAAATCGGTGATCGTTAAAGAAGTCGTTCGCCAGGGTTGTACAGTATAAACTATGTACGTTAAGTATATTTAATTTCGTGGCTAGATCACAGGTGTTGGAGTTGTATACAGCTGTATTGTAGTTTGTTGGGTGATTGGTATATTGACTGCTGTTTGTTAAACTATCATTGGGGTTGTATGTTGTTGTGTTGTTATTTGTTGGGTGATTGGTATATTGATTGCTGCTTGTATGACATTCTTTTGAGTTGTGTATTGTTGTGTTATTGTGACTGGTATATTGGTCGTTGTTTGTAGAGTTTTTGTTGAGGTTGTATATTGTTGTGTTGTTGTTTGTTGGGTTATTAGTATATTGATTGTTGCTTGTAGGATTTTCATAAGAGTTGTATATTATTGTGTTGTTGTTTGTTGGGTGGTTGGTATATTGATAGTTTCTTGTAGGGTTTTCGTTGGAGTTGTATATTGTTGTGTTGTCGTTTGTTGGGTGATAGGTATTTTGATTGTTGCTTGTAGGATTTTCGTTAAAGTTGTATATTGTTGAGTTGTTTGTTGGGTGAATGGTGTATTGATAATTTCCTGTAGAGGTTTCGTTGGAGTTGTATGTTGTTGTGTTATTGTTTGTTGGGTGATTGGTATATTGATTATTGCCTGTAGGATTTTCGCGAGAGTTGTACATTGTTGTGTTGTTGGTGGTTGGGTAATTGGTATACTGATTGTAGTTTGTAGAATTTTCTATGGAGTTATATATTGTTGTGTTGTTGTTTGTTGGGTGATTGTTATATTGATAGTTTCTTGTAGGGTTTTCGTTGTAGTTGTATAGTATTGTGTTGTTTGTTAGATGATTGTTGTTTGGTAATGTGTTGTTATGAAGTGTTGGGTTTCTGTTTGTTGAAATTTGTAACAATGTATTGTGGGTAAGTAGGTTGCTGTTTACAATGTGAAATGTGTTGTTTCTATTAGAAAATGAGCTGTTTGTTGATCTGGTTGTGTATATGTTATTGTTTGTTGATACGTTTGTTATATTTTGGGATAATGAATAGTTAAAGCTAAGTGACGTGTTTGTGGTTGTGTGTGTGTTTGTGGAGTATTGATAATTCTTCCAGAGTGTTTTAAGTATCTGGTTTTGGGTTTTTTGTAGAGTTTTGCAGTATGTGGCACTACCCCATGCAGTAATACCATGTCTTAAATATGACTCTGCAAGAGAAAAATATGCTTGTCTAAGTACACTATACGTTGCACAGTTACTTAGGTGGTACAGGGTATAGGCAGATTTACGAAGTTTTTTGCGTACATTTTCAACGTGTGTCTTCCATTTGAAATTATTATCGACATAGACACCTAAATATTTGTATGTCTGCACTACTTCTATATTTGTCGTACATTCTTCATTAGTATTATTTGGGTTTATTGTTTTTTGATGGAGGCAGTTATTGTGGTGGAATTTTAATTCTATAGAAGATTCAATGAGATGGCGGGGCTTTATATGCATAAGTTTCGTCTTCGCAGCATTTATGATTAGGCCATTGTCGTGGCACCATTTTGTTGCAATATTTAATTGTTTTTGCATTTTTTCTGTGGCCTCTTTTAAGTTGTTATTTGCAACAACGATTGCAGTGTCATCTGCGTAGGCAAATGTTTTGGTTTCTATAGCTTTGAGCATTTCATTTGCATATATAATATACAAAATTGGTCCTAATTTTGACCCCTGAGGTACTCCATATTTGTTCTAGTTCAGTTCTAGTTCAGTTCTAGTTCAGTTCTAGTTCAGTTCTAGTTCAGTTCTAGTTCAGTTCTAGTTCAGTTCTAGTTCAGTTCTAGTTCAGTTCTAGTTCAGTTCTAGTTCAGTTCTAGTTCAGTTCTAGTTCAGTTCTAGTTCAGTTCTAGTTCAGTTCTAGTTCAGTTCTAGTTCAGTTCTAGTTCAGTTCTAGTTCAGTTCTAGTTCAGTTCTAGTTCAGTTCTAGTTCAGTTCTAGTTCAGTTCTAGTTCAGTTCTAGTTCAGTTCTAGTTCAGTTCTAGTTCAGTTCTAGTTCAGTTCTAGTTCAGTTCTAGTTCAGTTCTAGTTCAGTTCTAGTTCAGTTCTAGTTCAGTTCTAGTTCAGTTCTAGTTCAGTTCTAGTTCAGTTCTAGTTCAGTTCTAGTTCAGTTCTAGTTCAGTTCTAGTTCAGTTCTAGTTCAGTTCTAGTTCAGTTCTAGTTCAGTTCTAGTTCAGTTCTAGTTCAGTTCTAGTTCAGTTCTAGTTCAGTTCTAGTTCAGTTCTAGTTCAGTTCTAGTTCAGTTCTAGTTGAGTTCTAGTTCTAGTTCAGTTCTAGTTCAGTTCTAGTTCAGTTCTAGTTCAGTTCTAGTTCAGTTCTAGTTCAGTTCTAGTTCAGTTCTAGTTCAGTTCTAGTTCAGTTCTAGTTCAGTTCTAGTTCAGTTCTAGTTCAGTTCTAGTTCAGTTCTAGTTCAGTTCTAGTTCAGTTCTAGTTCAGTTCTAGTTCAGTTCTAGTTCAGTTCTAGTTCAGTTCTAGTTCAGTTCTAGTTCAGTTCCAGTTCAGTTCTAGTTCAGTTCTAGTTCAGTTCTAGTTCAGTTCTAGTTCAGTTCTAGTTCAGATCTAGTTCAGTTCAGTAGTCTAGTTCTAGTTCAGTTCTAGTTCAGTTCTAGTTCAGTTCTAGTTCAGTTCTAGTTCAGTTCTAGTTCAGTTCTAGTTCAGTTCTAGTTCAGTTCTAGTTCAGTTCTAGTTCAGTTCTAGTTCAGTTCTAGTTCAGTTCTAGTTCAGTTCTAGTTCAGTTTCTAGTTCAGTTCTAGTTCAGTTCTAGTTCAGTTTCTAGTTCAGTTCTAGTTCAGTTCTAGTTCGGTTCTAGTTCAGTTCTAGTTCAGTTCTAGTTCGGTTCTAGTTCAGTTCTAGTTCAGTTCTAGTTCAGTTTTAGTTCAGTTCTAGTTCAGTTCTAGTTCAGTTCTAGTTCAGTTCTAGTTCAGTTCTAGTTCAGTTCTAGTTCAGTTCAGTTCAGTTCTAGTTCAGCTCTAGTTCAGTTCTAGTTCAGTTCTAGTTCAGTTCTAGTTCAGTTCAGTTCTAGTTCAGATCTAGTTCTAGTTCAGATCTAGTTCTAGTTCAGTTCTAGTTCAGTTCTAGTTCAGTTCTAGTTCAGTTCTAGTTCAGTTCTAGTTCTAGTTCAGTTCTAGTTCAGTTCTAGTTCAGTTCTGGTTCAGTTCTGGTTCAGTTCTAGTTCAGTTCTAGTTCTAGTTCAGTTCTAGTTCAGTTCTAGTTCAGTTCTAGTTCAGTTCTAGTCAGTTCTAGTTCAGTTCTAGTTCAGTTCTAGTTCAGTTCTAGTTCAGTTCTAGTTCAGTTCTAGTTCTGTTCTAGTTCAGTTCTAGTTCAGGTCTAGTTCTTAACAAAAAACGCTCATATTTTTTTAATTTTTTATAGAAAATCTTTCTGATCCCTTACAAAAACACGCAGATTCTTAGAAAGAACTAAGGAAGATGAGAGTTTTTAATAAAATTATTAGAATTAAGGAAATTTATTTAAGAATATAAACTATTAATAAAACTTTTAATTTATTTTATTATTATTATTTTTTTTTTAATTTAAATTGTTATCACTTCTGTTTTATTCGTAATTAAT